TCATTCTGATCCACATAAAATAATAAAAATTTGTTATCATCAATTAAAATACGCTCTCCCAAAATTAATTGGTGACAGTATGTATGTGTGTTATGTTTACTTGATAGATTTTTTTACATTCAAGGCTGATGTTTATCATTTTATCAATAATGAATGTTCTTTATTAATATATGTATGTACCTGTTGATCAGGTCAGCTCAACAATCAAAAAACTCAGGTCAGATCATTGTACTGGCTTGACCCAATCTGTTCAGAGCTCTAATTAATTCGTGATCCATCATCAGTGAATGAAAGGATCTACATACGGCTAAAAGACCCCTATTGTTGTGCCACATGCTCAAATTTCAAAAATTGCGATTTCATGATTCATCAGAAAGGGACTTCACGTGATTTTTTACTGCCAAATTTAGATATGATGTCGAGTATTAGTCTAAATTTAGTAATGATGGTCGAATAATTAAAAAAATTTTAAGCTTCTACTCAACTATTCTAATTTGAATGTGGAAAATTTACATTAGGATTTAAAAAGAAGGACTATTCAGTTTATTAAAAGAAGGATGGTTTAATATTAGTCCAGAAAGAATTGATAGGTTAATAAATAGTATGCTACAAAGGGTGAATGAAACCTGACAAGTTATTGATTTTTTTTTTAATAAAATACAATCAACTTAAAATAACTTCATATATTTTTTGGTGTATATATTCAGGGCAGTTTGAGTTGAATTTTTTGTAAAATTTTCTATATTTTTATTTTTTTTTCTCTAAAATTTTAGTAGTAACTAGATTTAAACGTGAAATGCATTTTTTACTTGTACTACAAATGTTATTAGAACTTGCTATTGTGGTCAGTTTTCAAGGTAAAGATTTTTTATATTTTTAAGGTTTGTAACAAGTTATTATTTATATGTGGCAAAACTTCAGTACATTATACCATTTGATATGAAGATTAATTTTTATTTAATAAGCAAATTTCTTGGATAATAAAATTATTATGTTTTTTCATGTCGCTTTAATTATTTACAATGATCAGCAAGTGTCATTATGACCAGGAAGTGTAATCTTAAATGGTTAGATAACTTAATAGTTATAAATGATAAGTGTGTACTGAATTAGAATTAAACTCTTAGTACAGTACACAGTTTATATACAGGGTTGGGAGTCATGTACACATGCATAGTGATGGGCATAAAAATTATTTTGAAAAATGACCAAGTTATTAAGTACTTAATAACTCTATTATTAAGTGTTAAAAACACAAACATG